CTTTTCACCCCAAGCAAGGCAATAAAGCCACTTATAAGACACCAGGGTTTACGGAGTCTGAAAAAATATAAGAAAAAGAAAAGGTGCGTGAACAATAAAAGAAGATGAATCAATAAGACAGTAAATAAGGATTTTATTTAAATTTTATTTAAATTTTTGAAAGTTGTCTGGAAAGGAGAAAACCGGAAAAGAATTCCACAAACGAGAAGTGTGAAAGAAGAAACTGTTAGCATAGAACTTACGGTTACATCTAGCTGCCATATCGACTGTACAGAGGGCTATGATAAGTTTTTAGTCACCTTTGATTACAGCAATTTTGACTTGTGTATTAACATCTCTTCTTTTTTTCAGATAATACCGTATTAGTATCAAACTACTCTTATCTATGAACGATAGTTGAATTAAATTTTGCAATGAAAGTTCGCAGAATTAAGGAAATTGGTGAACTTCAACGAGGGAAAATAATAGGATGGCATCAGTGTTGGAAGTCAAATAGAGAAATTGCTAGGTTTTTCCAAGTTAATCATCAGTTAATAATATTGTCAAGAAATTTAATGAAGAAGGCCATTGTTTTGTGGAACAATGTTTAGGAAGACCAAGCATCGAGTCTGAGCGAACGGAAAGTTCGTTGAATAAGGAAGTCATCAGAAACCGTCGTCAGAGCGTCAAAGATGTCGGCAACTGCATGGAAATGTTGCCATATGTGGTGGGAAAGATTCTGAAAGAGCTAGGGTATCAAAGAAGAGTTACAAGAAAGAAGTCATTGATTTCAGAAGTTAACAGGAACAGGCGTATAGACTGGGCGAGAGAATTCGAGAGCAAAGATTATGAATTTTGACAGTCCGTAATTTGAGCAGAAGTAAGTAAATACTGCCACTATTCGAATTCGAGACAGGTTTGTATTTAGAGAAATCAAAATGAGATTTGAAACACTGAATATCTGCAGGCGACCGTGAAACAGGTAGAGATTGGAGTAATGGTGTGGGGCTCTATCTGGTTTAGAGGGAAATCTGAAGGGAATCTCTTGTTCAAGAGCAGTTGAATAGTCCAAAATACTGTCAAATATTAGAGAAAGGACTACTCCCACTATTTGAAACCAATCAGATTGACAAGAATGTCTACCTTTTTCAAGAAAATGGAGTGTCATGTCATACAAGCAAAGTAGCAAAGGCCTGTAAAGAATTGCAAGGAATCAAGTCAGTGCCATGTGTAGTCTAAAGTCCTGACATGAATCCAATAGAGCACGTTTGGGAGCACTTTGACCAAAGACTTCGAGTGCGTGCAACCAAAATCACGTCAGTGGCAACCCTTAAAGAAACATTGCTAAAGGAATGACAAATATGGATAAGACGATTGATGTTAACTTGATCAAATCCATGAAAAATCGAATACAAGCACTGAAATTAGCAAATGGAGGACCTGACTCCATACTAGTTTCAGATACTGTTTATTTATGTTGAGTTGGGATTACGTAATTACATTTTGAAATTGGATGTAGTTTATTTCTCCTGGCTAAAAACTTTTCTTAGGCCACTGTAAAATGATATGGCCTTCTTGCTTAAATTTATAAAATCTAAGTACCATAGAGGAAAGTTCATCAGAACGGTTACCATTAAAATATTTATTGAAAATGCACAGGGAAGCTAACGGTGGTGGAAAAGTGCCTGAAGCTGAGAAAACATGGGAAGGAACAGCAAGGAAAATATTTCCTGCAAAATGACAAATCGAAAAATTATTTTAAATAAAAACTCATCAGTTATTTTTTCCTCAGGCTTCAGAGCTCAATCAAGGACAAAATAATTATAAATTTATGCACAAATATAATCAGAAATAATTGCCAGAAACAGCAATATGAATGAAATAGATAACTTTGTGACAAAATAACAGCTCCTTCTGCTTACAGAGGAAAGGCTGTTTAGATTTTATATGTAAGGTAGCAAGTACTTTCAAATACTCATAAATGTTAGTAACTCGTATTATTGTAACTGGTATTTTATTAATCAGTTTCACCCCAAACAAGGCAGTAAAGCTACTAAGACACAAGGAATTACTGGGTGTAGAAGAATTAGGAACAGGAACATTACTAATGAGCGGGAAGAGAAAAGAGTAATCAGACGGAAAGTAGATAGCGATTAACATTGCATTTAAGTTTCCACAATCGAAAAGTACGAGAAAAGAAACTGTTAACATAGAATTTACGGCCGCATCTAGCCAGCTTAACTGTAAATTGATGAGATCTCGACAACAGTCTAGTACTGCGCTTAAGTTAAAAATGTCTAGGTAGCATAGAGAAGAGCTCATCCGAACAATTATTATGAAAGTATTTATAGAAAAGACACAGAGAGGCAACCTTAAGCCGAGCTGCCAGATAGGATAATATTGCTGATTCTTCTTTGGATTTTATCAAGGAGCTCTATATAAATAGCAGGAACACCAGACCATATGTGGCAGCAATATTTTAAGCATGGATGAATGGTAGACTTATAGATATGTACGATAGATTCTGAACAGAAAAATTGTCTCGCGCGATACAGTGAACAAGCTTTCTTAGAAGCTGACCTAGGAATGGATTTAATATAGTCGTAATATCCACTTCATGTCAACTGAAAACGTTAAGTAATCATATTTTAGTTACATTGCATAAATTTATAATCCTTTTATCCTCGACTGAGCTCTGAATGAAGAGTAAAGAACAATAACCGATTAGCTGCGTCATGGAATTCTTTCCATTTCGCATACTACGGTAAATATTTTTCTTTGTCATTTCTCCCCTTATTTTAATATATTTGTATATGTTATATATTAATGTATATATAATATTATATATTAATATATACTTATAGTTGATTCCAGCGTACTGTATCGTTAGTAAGTGCCTGGAAAATCCATAGTATAATGTGTTGACACAGGCCATTTGAGTGAAATTGGGTAGAAGCCACAAGTCATGGTAACCGGGGATTTGAGCGTAGTTACTGTCTTCAAACTAATGATCACACCTGATTATGCGCTCTCACTCGTTCTATTTCTCTCTCAATGATATCCACTCTACATAGTTGCAGTATAGACGACATGTCGGCTCTATGAATGCTGAACAAATTCAAAATGTACCCGAGAAGGCGTCTTCAGCTGGAATTAGCTCGCTACCCTAGCAGAAATGATTACACAGAAATGCTCAGGCAACCATACATATTGATATTTATTTCTTTTTTAACAGGTTCGTCTTTCAAGCTATAATATTCTGTATGCCTCTATAAATTATTTAAAAAATTGGTTTATGTTATTAATAGTAATTTAAAATATTTGACTATTTTTACATCAAATAGAAAGTGAAAAGCAAAATGATGAAGACAGTGGATTTTTTTTTAATTTTTTTATTTTAAAACCAACAAGAAAAATTTATTCTCCCATGAGAATCTGTTCTCCTCAAATTATTGACTGTGATTTTGCTGGTCACGTGATGCAGTCGAAAGCAAACCTTCAACAGATGTCAAAATCCAAAGAGTCAAACTTCACACCTGCTGCCTTGACTTTCAACAGTTAAATTTGTGGAAAAATGTCAGACAAAACCTTAACTTGTTGAGTGTTTCATTTAAAAGGTCATTTATTTTTTTTACTCCAAAAAAACAATATTTTTTTCGATCAGATGCTCTATTTTATTTTCTCATAATTAAAAGGAAAAATTGATTTTCCTTCAGAATAAAACGTCATTGGAGATAATATAAGAGATTTGCAAAATGTTAGCGAGACAATGAAACTTCACTAAATTAGGTCGTCTATATAAGCTGAAGTGCAATAAGGACTATCAACAAAAGGACTTATTCATTAATATTCACCTGTTTCACTTGCTTATTTATATTAATTAATGTGTATTTCATATGTTAATACATTTGAAAAGAAATGAAGAAATCATATATAACGAATGACTAATTACCAAAATCTGTATTAAAACGTTGAGTAGTATTAATATTTCTTAATTATTATTACAGTGTAACCCGGATATAAGAGACCCGGATATAAGAGATTTTCTCTGGTCCCAAATTAGAGCCTGTGTTAATGTATATAAATTAGACCCGGATATAAGAGACCTGGATATAAGAGAAACCCGGATATAAGAGAGATTTTCTCTGGTCCCGTCCTCCCCGATATAAGAGAGTTCGTTTTGAGTGACAGTGTGATGTCGTAAATCGGTCAAACAGAGGTCAGTTAGAGAGAGAGTGAAGTTCAATGACTTAATCTTGACTAGTCTAGAGACACGGTGTGTCCAATCTGTGTCTGTAGGAGACACCCTCTACCTTATGATTTTGCTTTGTGTCTAAGGGTAGCGCCACCCGCTTTTTTGCCGACTTTGCTTGTCGTTGCATTTACTGGACAGCACTTTAACTTTACCCACTGTTCTGTTGAGTCAGAAGTTTGTCTGTTTATTAATTTTGCCAGTGAAAACCGTTTGCTTGCGATCATTGCGATTAGTGATGTCGGCGTCTCAACGAAAAACTCTGAGCATTTCTGAACAGTTGGAGCTCATCGACGATGTCAAAGTGAAGAAACTAAAACTGGCCGCTGCAGCCAAAAGTACGGAATCGGTTATTCAACAGCAGCAAAATTCTCAAGAAAGAAGACGATCTCAGATCTTGCATGCAAATGAACGGAAACACTAATCGCAAACGAAAGCGCCAATCCGTGCACAAGGACGTTAACGAAGCGCTTATACAATGGTTTACGCAAGCATGTGCTCATGGAGCTACCGTCACCGATCACGTCATCAGGCAGAAAGCATCACAACTGGCCGTAAATCTTGAAGTTGATTTTGAACCGAGCAATGGCTGGCTCATGCGCTGGAAGCAGGCCAATAACGTTTCGTTCAAAAATTTCACGGCGAATCAACGTCAGCAGATCACGGTTCTGCCAACGAATGGGTGATAAACGTTTTGCCGCAACTTTTTCGTGGATATGATCCAAAAGATGTTTGGAACTGTGATGAAACGGGATTTTTCTACAAAGCCATGCCGTCTGGATCTTTGCAATTTGCCGGCGACGAACAGTCAAATGGGACAAAAGTTCCCAAAGACAGACTCACGATGCTTCAGTTCACAAACATGGACGGCAGTGAAAAGCAATCTGTAGTTGTTGGTAAATCGGCAAAACCACGCTGCTTTAAAAATGTCAAAACTCTGCCGTTTTCTTACTTCGCTAATCGTAAAGCCTGGATGACTAGTCAGCTGTTTACTGACGTTATGAAAACGCTTGATCGAAAAATGATTGCTCAAAATCGAAAGATTATTCTGTTTTTGGACAATGCAACTTGTCATAACTTACTGCCGGGTACAAATCTGTCAAACATCAAATTGTCATTCATGCCACCAAACACCACCAGTCTCATTCAACCTTTGGATCAAGGCATCACTCGTTCATTCAAAGCGTATTATCGTCGGGAACTTGTTCGAATGCAAATCGCAGCGATCGATGCTACACCGCCAGTGCCGCTGTCCGAGGTGGCCAAGCAGATAACTGTTTTGAAGGCCATGCACATGCTGAAGCGAGCACTTTTCATGGTAAAACCGTCAACAATTCAAAATTGTTTTAAAAAGGCCGGCTTTGTCATTGAATCACAGGCTGAAGTGGAAGAAATACTCGACGAAAATGATCAAGATTCTCCACCATCGGGCATGGAGCAAACAGATTTTGACGAATTTATCAGCTTCGACGATCGTATGCTTTATGGAGAACTGACTGACACGGACATCACACGTGGTATAAAATCGGATGATCAAGATTTTGACGAAGATGATGATGCCGAAAGCGTAAGTTCTGAAGTTTCTGAAAGTGACAAACCATCGCCAAATTCTCTGGCTGCATTGAATGCGCTTGAAACTCTGACAGACTACTTTGAAGCAAAAAGCAGTAATCCTGATGGCGCATTGAAAATGTATGAAAGTGTTTATGATGTTAACTAACAAAGAGATTTCTGTACAATCAAAAATGACTGACTTTTTTAAGAAAAAGTAATTTTTGATTGAATTATTTTGAAAACTGATTGAAAATGTATTTTTGTCTGTGTTTTTTATGTCTATAACTGTTAAATAAACTAGTGTTCTGTACGTAAAAAGCGTTATATGAAGTGTTCCCATACTTACCTAAACAAAATAGACCAAACCCGGATATAAAAGAAACCCGGATATAAGAGACTTCTTCTCCGGTCCCGACAACTCTCTTATATCCGGGTTACCCTGTATTAATATTTTGAGCATATTTGTTACAAAAATTATTTATTATATTTTTTGTGAGTGCCACCTTTCCCTATCATATTTGTCCTCAAGATGCCCCGTTAGGGTTAAGTTTTCCAAGCTCACCTTCCATAATTTTAAAGTACAGAAACCTCTAGTCGACGAGAGTCTCAATTCGTGATTTTAGTTTGGGATAAGATTCAGTTTGGTTTTGGAGAATCAAAATAATTCAACCTTTGTCCTGAAATTTCAGTCTTGTATATATCTTTCAGAAAAAAAAAAAGTCGAATTTTGCAGTTTTGCCCGAAGAGGCTAAAGCTGTCAAAAGTTTGAAATTAAAAAAAAAAAAGCAATAGGGATTATTATTTTGGTATTTTCTTTCTCATTGGAGATAATATAAATTTACCACATAGAAAAATAATCATAACAAGTGGCAATTTATATTTGAAGATTATTTTGTTAGTCACCAAGACCAAGGTAAAGGTGTAGGGCTTTTTGTTCTGGGGACTATCGAAAAAAAGTCGAGCATTTAGGAGTTTTTCAGCAATATCTTTTAATATAAAAGACATTTTTCTTAACAACTGCGAATTACTGTTAAGATTATTTCGTTATTCACCAACACCAGGATTATACTTTAGGGTATTCACTGTGGAAAGTATCGAATAAAACGCATCATTTTACAAACTTTCCATTTCTTCTCACCAGAAAAAAATAATAAGCATTATGAATTTATTTTAAAATTATTTTGATAGTTCTCAATTCCAGTATTAAGGGCTAGGATTTTAGTGGTGGAAACTATGGAATAACATATCACATGTAGAGTCTTTTCTGTAGTCCTCCACACCCCAAAAATTAATAAATGGAAATTTATGATACAATTATTGCGTTAGTCCACAACCCGATGATTTAAAAGTTAAGGTATTCGTAGTGGGGATTATCGAAAAAAACATAAATCTTTGTTACGAGTTTAATAGTAAAAGAAAAAAAAACTTATTTTTTAAAAACATTATGGGCGTTAGATTTTGATGCAGGCTGCAAAAAATTAAATGAAAAGAAAAATCCCCAAAGTGGTTTCTATAAATCATATTAATTAATTAAATATTTAATCATGTTTCTTGTTTATTCGCATTCTGTTAATTACTCGATTACTAGGATTCTATTTTAATGTATTTAATACACAACCAATTCTCACTATGTCTGTCTCTCTCTATATATATACACCATATATCTTTGAAACAATGTAATAATATATAACATAAAGAATGATATATTATACGTAATATAATTATATATATAATATATAGACTAATATATTTTATATTTAATAAAGTACTATATATATATATATATATATATATATATAATCTAATAATATATATAAAATTTTATATATATTTTATATATAATAAAATACATTATATAATCTAGTTATATTATATATAGAGAGAGAGAATAATGTACATATATATTTTATATATATGTAATGTATAGAATATGTCGAATAATATATATGTGTGTGTGTGTGTGTGTGTGTACAGAATATATAGAAAAACTAGCTTAAAAGCTGCCCGATCGGGTGGCTTTTAAGCTAGGTGCTGCAGAGGTCTTGTGAATGGACCTTCATTACAATAGATAGGGAAGAGTAGATGCGATAGGCAACAATAAACTACAAAAGAACACAAAATTGATCGCTGCATTTAAGTATTACATTAAGCTTACCTTTTAAAAGTGCAATTATAATTCTTCTGTCGCCATAAAGGCAATTTGATGTACTTGTTAGGTCCTTAATTTCGCTGGCTTTCGCAATTATTTTGGATTATTCCCAAATTTATTCCCAAATTATAAAAATTGTTATCGTACAAAAAAATTTGTAGCAAAAAATCACTAAAAAAAAAAAAAAAAACAAAAAAAGAAACAATCGCAGTAATGAAAAGTTGGGAATCCAAAATTTCTATAACACGAGCTGTTGAAAGTTGTGTCCCTTTAACTGAAAAAGTGTGAAGCAGTGACACACTGACATTCGCATTTATTATATAGATATATACATATTTTATATATACAGGGTGCGATGTGTAAATTGTCACGAGTTTATAATTATAATTTCGCGCATGCGCATTGTTTGTTTTGTTTATTTTGTCAACGGTATAGTATAGTAGGATCAGTTGCGCACCGTCTGTGAGATAAAGAGCACCATGGCACAATTCACTCTGAAAGAAATTTGGAAACAGCATGCTGTACTACTTGGCATTTAGCAGATATATCTTTTACAATGAGATGTCAGTGTTATTTTCATTTTGCGTAATTTAGACGGCAATTTATCCATCGCACCCTATAATGTATATAGAACAAGATATATATTTTATATATAATAAAATAAATACATATTGTATATAATATGTATAATATATATTTTATGTACAGTATAGAATATATATATATTACGTATAATAGAGTAATATATAGTAAAATATATACAATAATATTTATATACAGAATGATAATATACAGAATATTATATATAAAATAAATATTCTGTCAATTTTTATCAAACATTTTCATTTTTTGTTCGTGTAACATGACCTCTTTTTTTAGATTGCAAGGTTACGTCAATATTTAAAAAATATTTCACATATAAAATCTAATGTAATATTTGTATTTATTTACGCTTTTTTCTATATACCTTTCCAATTTTCATATTTGGTTCTTATTTAATTCTAGTTAACCCGTCCTGTCAAGAAAATGCTTGTATCTATAAAATAACAAAAAAAAACTTGTTCTAAAGGACAAGTTTTTTATATACTGAATACTTTTTGCAAATATGAAAGTAAAATAGAATTAAAATTAAGTGAAGATAGCAATTGATCATCTGCCTTATCTTCTTGATATAAATGAAGATTATTATGAACGAAACGGAAGTTTATTTACTATATCCTTTTCCATGTACCGCTTCCCTTCAGGACATGACTCTCCACAAGTTTTATATCTCGTGTGACTCTTAGCAGTTTTCTCCCTTTACTAAGGTTCACGTTCCGCCATCCATTCACACATACTCGTCAGGTAAGTGCTTGGCTGCCTCGCCTTATCTCTTTTGCCTTCAATATGCCCTGTGAGGGTTAAGTTTTCCAAGCTCACCTTCTTTATTATGTGACCAAATAATGTCAGCTGTCACTTTCCGATTTTGCATATAAGTGTTCTTTCCGCTGTCATTTTCTTTAAGACTTTCTTGTTGCTTACTCGCTTCGTCTATGGAATATATTTATTTCACTAACCTATGTATTTGAAATATTAAACTTATTTTTTTGTTTCATAACCAATTGCAATTTGAGTTTGTTTCACACCATCTTTATAATATAAACAAGTTGTATCAGGAAAACATGTTGAAAGTCAGTAGCTTCAATTTAAAAATAAAAAATACTTTTAAAATATTTTTGCTGGGATACAAAATTTAATTTTAACGATAAAAACGGACATGTTTAAACAAGAAGCAAAAATAAAAAAGGGGTTATCAAAAACATTTATATAACCGTAATGTGGTATTCGATATTACCATTTTTATTTAAATTCTTCTTCTACGTTATTAGAAGAATACGTAATATAAATCTAGACAATTTACCTATCTTTATATAACAGACACATCTTGTGATGTAGAAAGGTGTTAACTGTTACACACAATACACAAGGAGTGAAAAGTTCCAAAATCTGTACTCCGATGTTTAGTCAATGAAATACTGATTTTGACAAATGGGTCGAACCAAAAACTTATCAGCACCTCTTCGCATATATTGATACATTTGCATATCCGGATTTTATCAATTTTCCTTTTGTCTATGAATCATTATGCTTGCTTTGTCGCTTTCCATATCGATATACCCTTAAAACTCTTCTGAAATTGTATTTTCTTTCTGTAACTTAATTATTCATTGGCTATAATTCGTCCAAATTGATTTAGACAAGACGAGAAAATAAAAACAAACAGTTCAAACAAAATGTCAATGAAAATCCAATCCAAACAGTAATAGTGAAGCGAGTTTAACTTAAAAAGACAAACGACTATATGTTTCTTTCTTTTAAAAACTTTCTTATCACTGTTAGTACTCAATAAAAGCGTCAGTACAGCTTTTTTTACACGTTCAAGTTACAAATCGAATACTTACATTATGAACGGAAAAAAAGATTTCCGATCTTGCTGAGAAGTGGTTCTCACTTAATTTGGATGGAACTATGATTCCTCTAAAACGGTTATGGTCCTCCAGATATTAAAAATAAGTTCCTCAGCTTTGATTGCCATATTAAATTTTTATTTTTTATAAATATACATGCCAATCTGAGAACGACTGATGTATTTTCCACTAAAGTTACAGGAATTCGAAAATTATTTTATTCGACATCTTTGAAAAAAAAAAAATTAATGGAAATAGAACATGGTCTCCAAGTCTACACCCGAAATAATTTTTGTTCCAATCGAAGAAACTCATGTATACTTAACTAAGTACAGAAGCCATTATATCCGAATCACAGTAAGTACCAAGAATAAAACATCAATATTTTCAGGAAAACCGTTCTTTTTTTTTTTTTTTTTTTTTTTTTCTTTTTTGTTTTTCATGAATCATAGAATGCGATGTGTTTTTCTCATCTGAATAGATTTATGATAAAAAAAAATTCGCAAAGTTCTGATTTGATTTTTTTTTTTTGTAATTTAATAAGTGTTTCAGCAAGTAGATTGGATTAAG